TTCGGCTTCCTCCTTTGAGTAAGTTTAGGAGCCTTAGCCTTGCCCTGCTGCTGCTCACCCTCAGGTCCAGGAGCTCCACTAGTGCTACCTCTAGCCTCTACACCACCTTCTCCACCAGCAGGTGCTTCCTGCACCTTCTCTCCATCACCACCTTCTAAGGCTGCCTCCTCTCCCTCCTCCGACACACTAGGAGTCAGGCCCAGCTGCATGGTGATCTGCTCCATCTGCTTGGACACCCTGGCCTCCAGCTGTTTCTCCCAGCCTCCATGCATCATGCCGTCAACAAACTTCACATCCCTGCTGTCGAACAACACACTCTTCGATGGTTCCCACACCAGCCATCCATTACTCTCAGCAGCCAGTCCCAAATGCACACACCAAATTGCACTCGCCCCCAACTTACTTCGATACTTCTTGGGGACGTGGGCGACTGCCATGCAACCGAACACCCTCAGCATGTCCACCAACGGCTTCCTCCCAAGCCACCTCTCCAACGGCACCCACAATTCATCACCAACCTTCGTGGTCTTTCTTTGAACCGCGTCCAGCACCACCGAAGCCACGTCCTCTGCCACGTTGGCTCCCTTGCATTCCGTAGCTACTGCTGCGGTCGTCTCCACCCCTTAGTTGGCGATGACGGAAGTCCTCCTCCAGAATCTTCGTCCGCACCCACTCGAGCGTCCACAAGCTCTGGTTCTGCGGCAGGCTCAATCCACTCGTGAATGGAAGCCACGATTCTGGCAGCAGCGACAGCATCTTCAAGCACTTGGTCTGCTCGAGATAGGTGATTCCTGCGGTTGCCAACTTCGCGTAGAGGTTGCGCATTTTGTCCAAAACAGGTTGCACCGGCTCTCCCTCGCTCAAGCGCAACGCGGACAGCTCCCTCTCCAGCATTAACGTTGCGACAACGGAGTTCGGGGCGTGCAGCTCCTTTAATACGGTCCACGCCTTCGGACCGCACTTAACCTCAGGCAACAGGTGCATGACGTGGTGACGCTGGTTCAGCTCCGAACTCTGCAACATCAAGTTGTAGCTAGCCGAGGCGCGCTCGTCCCAATCTTCCTACAACGCGTCACTCGGTCTGGGCTGCTCCCCAATCATTAGTTTCAGCAATCCAATCTGACGGAAATACACTTGCATTTTCCAGGCCCAATAATCGTAGCCCTCACCATTGAACTTCTCGACGGTGAAGTTCTTCAGCACCTCCTTGATCAGCAAGCCCTGGTTTGTTGGCGCTCCCCTTGGCACCAAAACACCAGAATCTTGGCTGCCGCTACCATCTTGGGCTGAAGATTCAGAAGCTCCCGCCGAGGTATTTCCCGCCATAGCTACCTATAACAAGGATCACTATAACGCAGCTCTGATACCAGCTTGTTTGTATAAGGGCCTAAATAACACAGGCTATTAAGACGTTATCCAACTTAAAACCTCTCCTCGGGGTCACCTCCAAGGGTGCCTGTCACAAGACCAGCCCCTCTCGTTGGGTCCAAGTTTATAGAGAGAGGGATCAAGAGGGACTTAGTCAAAACAGCAAGAGTACCTTGAGCTTCACGCAGCGTGCCGTGCAGACCGTTGATCGGATTAAGCTGAGAACTTGCTTTATCGAAGCTCACTCTAAGAGCTTTCAAAAGAGCCATGTTGCCTTGCCAAAAGTTCTGCCATTACGAAATTAAGGCTCGGACAGCGTTTGCCTAGCGTCTTAGTGCTAGCATGCTAGCGTTGACTCGGTAGCATTTTGCTGTCGCACGGCGTAGAAATGAAATTCCAGCAAGGAAGGAATTTGCTTGGATCAAATTTGACTATTTCCAGGTACAAACAGATAAGGAATAAATAGTTCTGGCTAGCAAGGACCATGGGAATCAACCTAGGAACAACCAGGGATAATCCCAAATAATTCCAAGCAACAGAACCAACCTGGCTTGACAAAACAGCAGGTGGTAGGTTCGTAAACAACCTCTGGTTCTGTATTTCCAACCTGGGAAAACTACAACTAGGTTCAGGTCCTAAAAACAGAAACCTGTAGTGTCTTTGCCCAGCCAGCCAAATGCTGGTTCTGCTGGTTTCCCCTGGCCCTCTTGCATGCAGATACAAACAAACAACATCCAACCTTCACCTTAATTGTACCCCTATATTGCCTCCCCTGGTACACTATAGTATACCAAAAAAAACAATACAATTTCGAGTTGGATATGTCTGAATCTGCACATTCAATTCAACCGAACTGCAAAGCTTCCATCTTGGGTTCCTTTGCGAGTCGTCCTTTCTGCTTGCACTGCTCATAGCGCGTACAATGTTGTGCCAAAGTGCACATTGCGCAAGTACCTGCAAATGCATCAAGCGAAAATTGGGAAAGCAAACAAACACACGAACATTCCATTCACACCCGAATGCATTCGCACCCGCATACTCGTACAAACAGACGGCAGGATGTCGTGCAATGTTAATTTGCACCCAAGAGTGGGCGTATCCGCTGAAGCAGAAGGACTACGCTGCCTCCACGACACGGGACGATTGGCTGCCATTCGTGGAGAATCAGGCGGAGTGTGTGGTGAAGCGCATTAGGACAGACCGGGGTGGTGAGTTCCTTGGAGCTGAGATGACAGCCTGGCTCAAGAAGCAAGGCATTCAGAGGGAGCTGATCACGGCTTACACCTCGTAGTCCAATGGTGTAGCAGAACAGACGAACCGGACCATTTTGGAGACAGCTAGGACGCTACTCATAGAACCAGGGGTGGGCAATTCGATGTGGCCCCATGCTGTCCGGCACGCTACCGATGCTAGGAATAGGGTGCTCACTAAGGTTGGTGATGACTCGTGGGTGCCGTTGGAGAGGTGGCTTGGGAGGAAGCCGCCGGTGGACATGCTGAGGGTGTTCGGTTGCATGGCAGTCGCCCACGTCCCCAATAAGTATCGAAGTAAGTTGGGGGCGAGTGCAATCTGGTGTGTGCGTTTGGGACCAACCTGGCTTGACAAAACAACAGGTGGTAGGTTGGTAAACAACCTCTGGTTCTGTTTTTCCAGCCCGGGAAAACAACAACCAGGTTCAGGTCCTTAAAACAGAACCTGTTTTGTCTTTACCCAACCAGCCAATTGCTGGTTCCGCTGGTTTCCCGTGGCCCTGTTGTCAAACTTATATATAGCTTACATTGTGTAGGCTGTAGTGGGGTAGCCCATAAGGGGTACAACCCAATTTGGGTTAGTACTTGTACCCAACTCTTTGCTAGTTCATCCATTCTCGTTCATTATTCTGACATGGTTTCAGAGCAGGTCCTCTGCTAGGACCATTTTTTTTCCTTGGGCCCACCACAGCGCTACCCCGCTAGCAGCCCTCTGCAGCCCTCGTGCTGCCCCTACCTCCTGTTGTGACCCATAGGCCCCTAGGCCCTGGCCCGTCGCCACCACTAGCCCGGCCCGTTGCCCCTAGGCCCATAGCCCCGGCCCGTCGCCCCTAGGCTCGTCGCCCCTTGGCATCTCTCGTCACCCCTAGCCCGGCCCCCATCGCGCGTCGCCCGTCGCGACCCCCGTCGACCGTCGCCTGTCGCCACCCCCGTCGCCCGTTGCGACCTGCCGCCCCGGCCCGTTGCCTCGGCCCGTCGACACCCGACCCGTCGCCCGTCGCGACTCGTCGCCCCTAGCCTAGGCCCAGGCCCCGCGGCCCGTCGCCCGTCGCCTAGGCCCTGGCCCCACGGCCCCTCGCGACCCGTCGCCCCTAGCCTAGGCCCAGGCCCCGTGGCCCATCGCCCATCGCCCCTAGCCTAGGCCCCAGCCCCACGGCCCCTCGCGACCCGTCGCCCCTAGCCTAGGCCCAGGCCCCGCGGCCCGTCGCCCCGTCACCCCTAGCCTAGGCCTTGTCGCCCCGCGGCCCCTCTCGTTGCCCTAGGCCCCCGGCCCCTCGGCCCCCGGCCCCTTCCTTCCTGACCCCGCGGCCCGACGCACCTAGGCCCCCTGGCCCCTCGGCCCCTTCGCCCCTGGCCCCTCGGCCCCTTCGCCCCTGGCCCCTCGGCCCCGTCGCGCTAGGCACCCGGCCCCTCGTTCCCTTGGACTCTTCGTTCCTTGGCCCCCTGACCCCGGCCCCGTCGCCCTGGCCCCTGGCCCCTCGGCCCCTTGGCCCCCTGGCCCCCGGCCCCTTCATTCCTGGCCCCGCGGCCCGACCCCCCCCCCCCCCCCTTAGGCCCCCGGCACCTCGGCCCCTTGGCCCCTCGGCCCCTTGGCCCCTCGACCCCTCGGCCCCTCGGCCCCTTCGTTCTCGGCCCCGCGGCCCGTCGCCCCTAGGACCTTCGTTGCTCCTGACCCCCCCGGCCCCTCAGCCCCTGCTGCTGCTCTTGCTACTGCTGCAACTACTGCTGCCACTGCTGCTCCTACGTGCTGTGCCACTATGGCTTCGCTTCGAGTTCTCGCGTTCGATCATGAGGGCAGACCGATTCAGTTTGACACGTGGCTTGACGATCTGCAGCTGTACCTAATGAGCGATTCTAAGGACAGTGTTTTGCTGTTTGACCTAGTGTCAGGCGCCACTACTGCCCCTCCCGCCAGAGCTGACAGTGCGAATCGCTCACAGTGGCTTACTCGCGATGCTCCTGCCCGCTTAGCCATTCGCAACCACCTGCCGTTAGCCGAATGTACTCAATTTGGACAGCACAGGACAGCACATGCACAATACTGTGAATTAAGAAAACAGGAATGGAATGACTAAGTGAAAGTTGGGTACAAAAAGCAAACCCTAGAAAACTGTACCCCATATGTGCTACCCCACTATAGCCTACAGTAGCTATGTCATATAAATCTGACACACCCCCATAAGCAAAGTGGGGGAGAACAAGGGGTCACAAGACCAGTCAAGCAAAGCAAAACAAGCTCAGGGTGGATCACAAAGTCACCACACATTCCGAGCACAAGTTCAAGGCCACAAGGCCAGTTCACATGCAGGATTGCATATATGTATATATAAGACTAGACAAGCAAGAGCAGGTGTATATATATATGCAACAGTACAAACAAGGTCAAGGGGTGAGCAAGTGAGGCAAGGTAGGCACAAGACCAAGCTGAGTACAGAAGCGCTGATGATCACAAGGCGCAAGTGCCTTGGTGAAGATATCAGCAGTGTTGGCCTCAGAGGCCACGTACGCAAGCCGCAGCTGACCACGCTGCTGTAGCTCACGAGCAAGGAAGTAGCGGAGAGCAATGTGCTTCGTTCTGTGCTCCAGTCTCTGCTCTCGACACAAGGCCAGCATGGCCTTGTTGTCTACGTACAGCACTGGAGGAGAACGAGGCGGCTCTCCGAGGTCAGTCAGCAGGTAGGTGAGCCAGCGAAGCTCCTGTGCAGCCATGGCCCCGGCGTAGATCTCAGCCTCACAACTGGAGCCGAGAACAGAAGACGAGCGGGTAGCCCGCCACGAAACAGAGCCGGAACCAAGGCTGAAGGAGTAACCCTGTGACGACCGCTGCGTAGCCTGGTCGTCAGCCCAAGAAGCGTCTGCGTGCCCAGTGAGGACCACTGGACTCTGCCCTCCAAGCACAAGCCCCATGCCCGACGTACTGCACAAGTAGCGCAACACCCTCTTCGCTGCAGCCATGTGCTCCGGTCTGTGTCTCCCAGGAGCAACATAGCGTGCAAGAATGCTAAGAGGGTACGCAAGGTCAGGTCGTGTGCAGGTCATCAGGTACATGAGGCAGCCAACAAGCTCTGGGTACGGGCCACTCGACTCTACGGACTCATCCGAAGGCAGAGCTGAGAGCGAGTGGCGTGTAGGCAGAGGAGTGGCCTGAGGCGAGGAGTACGTGAAGCCGAAGCGCTGAAGGACCTGCTGCACCATGTGTGACTGAGTCACGGTAATGGTGCGGCGTGCTCTGTCCCGGGTGATCTGCAAGCCAAGGTAGCTGCGCAGTTCACCCAGGTCTGTGCACGTGTGTCTCTTCTGCAGCTCGGACTTCACGTGGGCGAGTCCAGCAGTGTCAGCTGTGGCGAATACCAAGTCGTCGACGTACACGAGGATGTAGAACGGCGGCAAAGAAGTGTCGGTGCGCAGAAACAGCGACGGGTCGGCAGTAGAGGGAGCAAACCCAAGAGCCGCAAGTGTAGTCCTCAGTGTGTCGTGCCACTCACGCGGTGCCTGGCGGAGACCGTAGACTGGCCGCCGGAGGCTCCACTGGGTGCCAGGAGGAAAAGACCCAGTGAAGCCAGGTGGGCGACGCAGCCAGATCTCCTCGTGCAGGCTGCCCTGCAAGAAAGCAGTGCTGAAGTCAAGAGAGTGCAGCTTGTAGTCGCGGTGAGCAGCTATGTGCAGCAGTACCCGAAGAGTGGTCATCTTCGGGGTGGGAGAGAAGGTCTGAAAGTAGTCAACTCCCTGCCGCTGACTGAAGCCACGAGCCACGTAACGCGCTTTGAAGACAGGCGAAGAACCCGGCGGCCGCTTCACCCTGAAAATCCACATGTCACTGACGATGTTCGCCCAAGACGGGGGAACCTCGTCAACGTAGGTGCCTGTGGACTTCCAGGAAGCCATCTCTGCGTCCATAGCTGCCTGCCACTGAGAGGAGTAGGGACCCTCTATCGCCTCCGCGTAAGAGCGCGGAGTCGGGATGTCAAGTGCATCCGGGTCTCCCTCAGGGGTAAGCAGTACAGACACGAGATGAGGTGAAGCAGCAGCCAAACACTGGAACTCCTCCTGCCTGTCCTCAAGGACGTCCGTGCCAAGGGCACACTCACCCCCGACGGACGGAGGACAGACAGACTCAGACTCAGCAACAAGACTAGCAGCGTAGTCTAGACGACAGCGAGCAGCAAAGTCAACGAGCTCAGTAACTAGTGCAGACGCAGCAGTGGACTCAAAGGAAGGGTCAGTGACAACAGTAGCAAGGAGACGCGTGACAGTAGGACTGGCAGCACGAAGAGAGTCCGACTCCGGGTCAGGAAGAGCAGGAAGAGAGGACTCAGGAGGAGAAGGCAAAGGGGCACGCAGAGGAGCAGTGGACGGACGCAGAGACATCCGGTGCGTGCCAGGGACAGGAGGAGGACGCTGACGCGAACCACGACCACTGGTGCGAGCAGCACGGACAGGTGACGCAGGGCGAGACGCAGGCTCACGACGCTCAGCAAGACCTCCAGTAGGACCAGTGTAGGGAGAAGGAGCGGGCAGTGGGGAGGCCGGCTGTAACTGTAACTGTGACGGGACAGGCTGTGGACACTCTAAGAGAGGAGGAGGAGGACCAGTAGAAGGCGGGAGACCAAGAACCTGCTGAAGGAGTGGAACGAAGTACGGCCGAGGCCGCGCGGCGACTCCAGACACAGCAGGGACAGCACCAGTACCCCCAGCGGCAGCACCAGCGCCAGCAGCACCTCCAGCTCCAGTACCTCCAGCAGCACCAGTAGCACCCCCAGCAGGACCGCCTCCAGGACCGACAGCAGTAGCCTCAGCGCCAACACCCTCAGCAGCCCCAGCTCCAGTCGTACCCGCAGGCCCAGCAGCTCCAGTACTCCCAGTACGAGCACCTCCAGGACCCGCGGCACCAGTACCCTCAGCAGCCGAAGAACCTCCAGCTCCAGCAGCACGCCTCCAGCGCCGGGCAAACCACTCGCGCAGCTCCTGTGGAGAGAGTGGCTCCCGCCGAGACGAAGCACCCGGAGAACCTCCAGGCTCAGCACCTCCAGACGCCACACGAGCAGGCCCAGCTCCCTCAAGCTCCGCACCCCCAGGCTCAGCACCTCTAGGCGTAGCACCCCCAGGCTCAGCACCCCCAGGCTCAGCACCCCCAGTAGTAGCACCCCCAGGCTCAGCACCCCCAGGCTCAGGACCCGCAGTAGTAGCACCCTCAGGCTCAGCACCCCCAGGCGTAGCACCCACACGCTCAGCACCCCCAGAGTCAGCACTCCCAGGCTCAGCACCCTCAGCAGCACCAGAGTCACCAGTAACCTCGACAGGCTCGACTGCGTCTACCTGGGACACACCTGAAGGGGCAGGACCCTGAGGGGGGAGGGGGTCTACCGGGGGGGGACCTGGCACAAGGAAGAGCGGTGGCGGGGGGAGGGACGGAGTGCGGTAGGGGAAGAGGCGGTAGTAGGGGACCGACTCGTCAAACGTGACGTCCTGGGAGGACAGAACACGGCGAGAGGTGGGGTGGTAGAACTGCCACCCTGGCGCGTCAGGGGGGAAGCCAAGGAAGACGCAAGGAGCAGCACGAGGGGACAGCTTGTCCGCAGACAAGTCGCGGACAAACGCCCGAGATCCCCAGACACGGAACGCAGACGCATCGCCAACCTTCCCCGTCCACAGCAAGGCTGGGGAGGTCTCCGGCATGGAGACCCTGGAGTGAAGGTTGATCTGATGCGCCGCGTACCGAACAGCAAACGGCCACAGAAAATGGGGGGCAGCCGCATGCATCATGGACGTACGGGCGACGTCCATGACCATGCCAATGCGGCGCTCAGCAATCCCATTTTGCTGTGGAGAGTCCGGAAGCGTGAAGGTCTGGCGGATGCCTCGTGCACGACAGTAGGCTCGCAGATGGCCAGAGGAGAACTCTCCACCTCTGTCAGAGTGCAGACGCAGAACAGGAAAGTCCGAGCCGAAGCTCTGCCTGAGCTGGAGACGAGCTGCGCGGATCCAGTCGATCAACACCTCAGTGACATCACCCTTGCTGCGCAAGGGGAAGGCTGGGAGGAGTGAGGGGCAGCCCGCTGCCGCCCCTCGACACAGGGGACGCAGGTAGGGCCAGGCCCCGGAGGAAGGGGAGGGAAGGACACGGGAGGCCATGCCTCGGAGACGAAGCAGGGAGGGGTGACCAAGGCGGTGGTGCCAGAGGAGAGTCTCCTGAGACAGGAGGCGACACGAACAGGGGGCAGACTCAGGACCAGACTTGGACGCTGCAGCAAACACCTGACCTGACGCAGCTACCTGACCAGACGCAGTGCCCGGAGGAGACGCAGTGGTCAGTGTGTACAGGCTCGACCCCGGCCGACGTGTAAACGTGGCCAGGTGTCGGCCTGTCTGAGCGTCCGTGCAGTGGGTCACCCGCTGACTCGCAGGAGTGAACTGGTGAACCCCCGCATCCTGTAGGTCAGCACCACTCACAAAGTTCGTAGAGAACGAGGGGAGGTAAAGACCAGACAGGGTGCCAGAGGGGGCCGCCGGACACGGGAGGACAGTGGAGAAGTGAGCAAGGACAGGACCCCCAGAGGGGTCTGCCAGAGAGACTGCAACTGGCCGGCCAAGCGGCGTGAGTGTGGTGCGGTCTCGAAAGAAGGAGCGAGAAGCCCCAGAGTCAAGGGTGAAGGTGTGGGAGGCCGAAGCCGACGCAGAACCTGAGAGAGCAGACTCACCAGCACCTGAGGGAGCAGACGCACCTAGAGCAGCAGCCTCGCTAGCACCTAGAGCAGCAGCCTCACCAGTACCTAGAGCAGCAGTCTCAATGCCCGGGTCGGGCGGAAAACACCGGTAACAGTCACCCTCATCACTAATAGTCACAGTATACATGGCAGCAAGAATAGCATCAAAGTCAAGGTCAAAGACAGCTACACCCGCCCTAGACAGCTCACCCCAGCGGGGGATCTCAGTGGCCTCAGGGAACTGGTGACGCCAAGCGTCCGTCAGGCGGCCAAAGCAGCGCTGGGTGGAGTGCGCACCCCCGCACTGGTCACCCGCGCGGTCGCCGGTGCGGAGGACGTAGGTGCACGGACCAGTACCCCAACCCCTCTGGCGTGCAGTGTACCACTCACGGAGCTGCTGAGGGGAGGGGATGTCACGAGTGCGCTGCTGCTGCTGCTGCTGCTGCTGCTGGCGCTGACCACCACCGGAGCCGACCCTCTGCGCAGCGCCACCCCGACCAGCTCCACCTCCTCCGCCGCCTCCTCCTCCACCGCCGCCACCTCCGCTCCCACCGCCACCGCCGCCTCCGCCTCCGCCTCCACTGCCGCCACCGACACCTCCACCCCCGCCACCACCCCCACCGCCACCCCCACCCCCTCCACCGCCTCCACCTCCGCCTCCACCGCCCCCGCTGGCTCCTCCAGTGCCCCTGCCCCCCTTGCCCTTGCCAGGGCGACGTCTCCCGCTAGGGGTAGACGCCGCACCGACCGACTCAAGCCCAACGAGGTCGGCCGCAGCAGCAGAGGCAACAGAGGGCAAAAGGGGGGAGGGGGAACACCCCTCAAAGATGGGGGTGCGAGGGTCACCACGAGAGGCTCCTACAGCGACTATGCTCTTCTCTGCTGCTAGGAGGGACTTCTCGAGGAGGTCAACGGTGAGAGTGGTGGGGCAAACTGAGAGGAAGTGGTCCCTGACTACGCGAAGGGAGTCAGGGAGCCGGGTGACTATGTAGTAGAGGGTGATGTACATGGGGGGGGGGTTCTTGGCGCAGAACTCAGCAGGAAGCGCAGCGCGGTAGTGAGTGTCACTAGTGCGGAGGTGCGTAATAAGGTCAGCGACTGTGGGAAAGGCAGCAAGGTCAGGGAAGAGGTACGGTATCATGAGGCGGCTCAGTGCAGCAGTGGCAGGGGAGGAGTAGCGCGCAACTACAGTGTCGTACAAGGTCTGAGCGCTCTTGTACTGGCTAAAGTGCGCACGCTCAGAGGTAGGCAGGTGGCGACGCACAGCAAGACGTGCAGCAGCATCGCGCGTGGCCCACTGTGAGCGAACAGTGGTGTCAGCATCAGCAGCGGGGGCAGGAGAGGCACCAGAAGTGAGGTCAAAGAGGGAGAGGCCGTCTGCCCTGTCGCACTGTAAGAAGCTGCAGGTCATCTATCCAGACATCAAAGTCAATGGCCCGACCCTCAGCGTCAAAAGCGAGGACACTAGGGGTAGCCATGACAGTAGTAGACTAGCAGCGCAAACAGTAGGGTGAGGGCAGTGCTGTAAAAGGGGCGCTGCTCTTACCGGACAGGGCGGCTCGGGTGAATCGGCTGCAGGGCGGCTCGGCGGCTCGGCTGCTGGGCGGCTCGGCGGCTCGGTTGCTGGGCGGCTCGGCGGCTCGGCTGCTGGGCGGCTCGGTGGCTCGGCTGCTGGGCGGTTCGGCGGCTGGGCGGCTCGGCTGCTGGGCGGCTCGGCGGCTCGGCGGCTCAGCCGTTCGGCTGCGACTGCTGCTGCAGAGACGGCGGCGGCTGCTGCCTCAGGGACGGCAGCGGCCGGCCGCTAGGGGCCGCGTCAGGTGCAGGAGAGGGCCGCGTCAGGGGCGGCGTAGGGGCCGCGGCAGGGGCGGCGAAGGGGCCGCGTCAGGGGCCGCGTCAGGGGCCGCGGCAGGGGCCGCGGCAGGGGCCGCGTCAGGGGCCGCGTCAGGGGCCGCGGCAGGGGCCGCGGCAGGGGCCGCGTCAGGGGCCGCGTCAGGGGCCGCGTCAGGGGCCGCGTCAGGGGCCGCGTCAGGGGCCGCGTCAGGGGCCGCGTCAGGGGCCGCGTCAGGGGCGGCGTAGGGGCCGCGTCAGGGGCCGCGTCAGGGGCCTCGTCAGGGGCCGCGGCAGGGGCCGCGTCAGGGGCCGCGTCAGGGGCGGCGTCAGGGGCGGCGTAGGGGCCGCGGTAGTGGCGGCGGAGGGGCCGCGTCAGGGGCCGCGTCAGGGGCCGCCTCAGGGGCAGCGTAGGGGCCGCGTAGGGGCCGCGTCAGGGGCCGCGGCAGGGGCCGCGTCAGGGGCTGCGTAGGGGCCGCGTCAGGGGCCGCGTTGGGGCCGCGTCAGGGGCCGCGTTGGGGCCGCGTCAGGGGCCACCTAGGGGCCGGGTAGGGGCCGCGTAGGGGCCGCGTAGGGGCCGCGTAGGGGTCGCGTAGGGGCCGCTAGGGGGGGGCCGCTAAAAAAAAAATAGGGCAGGGGCGCAATGCGCGTCGGGCAGCTAAAAAAAAAAATTCGTTATGGTGGGCCCTTAGGAAGGAACGGTCCCATGTAGGAACCCGCTCTATACCAAGTGAATTAAGAAAACAGGAATGGAATGACTAAGTGAAAGTTGGGTACAAAAAGCAAACCCTAGAAAACTGTACCCCATATGTGCTACCCCACTATAGCCTACAGTAGCTATGTCATATAAATCTGACAAATACAACGCTGTAGTCGCTCGCTACTCCACGCCTGCCACTGCTGCGCTAGGCCGACTGCTACTGAGCTGTCAGCCTTTGCCACGGTAGAGGACCTTGTTTCCCACCTGCGCGCTAGTGACGCTTGCAACTGCGCTACCGTCCCTACTGAGTTCCATGATAGGAACCGGCCCCTGATGTTCATCACCCTCTACTTCATGGTCACTCGCCTCCCTGACTCTCTTCGCTCTGTCAGGGACCACTTTCTCTCTCTTGACCCCACCTCCCTCACTGTTGACCTCCTCGAGCAGCATCTCCTCGCAACTGAGACTAGTGCAGTTGCTGTAGGTGCTGCTCGTGGCACTCCGTGCACGCCCTTCTTTGAGGGGTGCTCCCCCTCCCCCCTTGCCCCCTCCTACACCTCCACTGCTGCTGCAGACGTCCCTGGTGCTGAGGACGTCGGAGCTGCTTCTGCTAGTGCGAAGTGCCGCAGCAGAAAGGGCAAGGGTGGCAGGGGTGGTGGAGGGGGCAGCGGGAGTGGTGGTGGGGGCAGCAGTGGAGGTAGTGGAGGCGGTGGAGGTGGTGGCGGTGGAGGTGGTGGCTGTGGTGGGATTGGTGGCGGGGGTGGGGGCTCTAGTGGCGGCGATGGAGGCAGCGGTGGGAGTGGCGGCAGTGGCGGTGCTGGGACTGGGGGCGGCAGGTCTGGAGCTAAGCGTGGAGGTTCCGGAGGTGGCCAGCAGCAGCAGCAGCAGCAGCGTCGGAGCGAGACCCAGTCGCCCCAGCAGCTTCGTGAGTGGTTCTTTCAGCGTGGGACGTCTGGGGGTAGTGATAGCTGCCCGTATGTCATTCGCACGGGTGTTCGTGCTGGTCAAGAATGCGGGAAGCTTCACACTCAGCACCGCTGCTTCTCCCGCCTCGACGACGCTTGGTGTGCTGAGTTTGGTGGCGACGTCAAGCGCCCTCGCTGGGCAGATCTGCTTAGGTCTGGAGCTGCTATCTTTGACCTAGACTTTGATGTTATCCTTGTTGCTATGTATGCTTGGTCTGTTAGTGCTAAGGGTGACTGTTACCGGTGTGTGCCACCTGACCCAGGTATAGAGGCTGCTGCTCTACGTGCTAGTGAGACTGGTACTCTCCCTGGTACTGCTCCTTCTGAGGCCTTGCACACCTATACGCTGGACTCAGGTGCCTCACGCTATTTCTTTCGTGACAGCACCACTCTCACTCCTCTCCCTGCACCTGTCCCGGTCCGACTGGCTGACCCCTCCGGGGGCCCGATCGTTGCCCGTTCCTCCACTGTGCTCCCGTGTCCGGCGGTTCCGTCCGGCTCAATGTCAGGTCTTCACCTCCCCTCGTTCTCTACGAACTTGGTGAGTACCGCTGCCCTCCAGGATGCGATGGTCACTACCACCACTCC